AGAAATATTGGATTCTTGATGTTTATTGTTACAGTAACATCGGATTCTTGCTGTTTATTGTTACAGTAACATCGGATTCTTGCTGTTTATTGTTACAGTAACATCGGATTCTTGCTGTTTATTGTTACAGTAACATTGGATTCTTGATGTTTATTGTTACAGTAACATTGGATTCTTGCTGTTTATTGTTACAGTAACATTGGATTCTTGCTGTTTATTGTTACAGTAACATCGGATTCTTGATGTTTATTGGATGTTACTGTAAGATCGGATTCTTGATGTTTATTGTTACTGTAAGGATTCTTGATGTATATTTTATTTTTTTTTGCTTGGAAGTAGAAAAGTCTGTGGGTCATAATTCCCCTTCCCCTGCTTTACGATCAACGAATCGTCGATATAGTGCCCAGAGAACTGTTTGGGCTTTTAAATAGTTGTATAAATTGAAATGGTTTCTGAAAAGATAGTCCCTCGCTGCGCGAAGTTGGATTATTGCCGCGCGAAAGAATTAGGGCATCGATTTGGTTCGGTCCTGGCTAACTTTCCGTGGCTGATGACAGATAGGAAAGGGTGCTTTAGCGAGGAAAGTGTGTGAGTCAAACAGTTTTAACGCTAGCGATATGGGAGGAATTGGGTGCGGTTTCATTAACTCTTAATGGACTCATTTATTAAGATATATTCAGTAACTATGTTTGAGGAGGAGGGGGGGAGGGAGACTACATAAGCTAATGTTTAAACCCATAACGTCTTTAGCTTGCGTTTTTGGGTAGACAAAACTAAGTTTTAGTTTAAAAAGAAAAAACAACTGAGAATATAACTCAAATGTCAACATTTTCGCTCCACAACGTAATGTTCGTGACTTTCCGAATTCTGAAGTCATTATAATCTACCAGTGTCAAAAAACAATCTAATGGATTTAGTCATTACTGACCTTTACTTACACACCCATTATGACACAATTAAAGATGTTTTTTTCTTTTGTTCTATTTATCTAGAATGTACTTGTGTTTGTGTGTGTAGTATTTTATAACTAAAGTGTTCTTAGTTTTAATTGTTTAACAAAACTCGGTACAGTTCAAAGTATCTCGGATTGGAACAATAATAGGCTTATCGCCGCATGGCCAACCACAGCTCGTCACATTGTTGTGTTGATAAGATCACTTTTGTTTTATTGTTATTTAGAACAAAAAAAAAATGAAACCTTTAAACACAACCTTGTCTTCGTAATCAAGATGATGACTTTTTTTTTCTTGTCCTCTGCAGAAACACAACAACGTCGATAAGAATTTGATCGGGTGAAACTTGGTGTAGCTGTAAGCAGGTATAGCGACGTCAGCAACAAGGATTCGAACACAACAAAAGAAAAGGTCTCGTCGAGTTCAAACGATTTAAACAACTTAAGAATGCACGTGGAGGTCCAAGTTGCATTAAATTTTCTGATATCTTTTCTTTACAACAAATTACCTAGGAGACGAGTGAACCAGTTTGGTGAAGAATTGGAGAAAGCTTTAAGACGGAAATTTCAGGGACACTGGTACCCTGACAAGCCCATGAAGGGATCTGCTTATCGCTGCCTGAAGACATCATTTCCTTTAGACCCAATTTTCGAAGAAGCTACCCTAGAGTGTGGGGTAGATCTGCGTGATATACAGGAAAATTTACCAAAAGAACTCAGCATTTGGATCGATCCAGGAGAGGTGTCCTATCGTCTAGGAGAAAAGGGTCCCGTTAAGGGACTTTACAGCCAATATGACAATTCTGAAACGACTAACGAACGCGTAATGTCACGCACTTTCAACCCTGAAGCTCAGTGCTTTAAGCCAATAGATAGTGTAGCGTCCCAACTGGAGGGACTTTCGTTGAGCTGTTCACCAACTACTCCAGTTACCCCTTATAGAAGCACTCCTTCGCCTAAGTATAAACCCAATAGTCCTGTAAGCGGTTTTATTTCCAAGACGACAACTCCTCTCACTTTTACAACGGCTACTTTCGCTCAGACCAAATTTGGCTCAACTAAACTGAAAAGTAATACTAAAAGATCTCATCGTCTGTCTCCAACAGAGTTTGGAAACTCAATCAAGCAGAGAGTGATGATGCAGCAGGTTCAACAACTAGCACAACAACAACAACATCTCGTCTCTTCTCATCCTCAGTCAGCAGTTATTGCAGCAGCCATTTTAGCTACAGAAGGAAATGCTAACATCAATGTCCCTCAGCGGCCAAGGTCTCTTTCACCAAATCCTCAGCTTGATGCAAGTTTTCTCCTCATGGCCTCCCTACAACAGTCTCGATTTTCGCCTAATTCAACCCAGCTTTCTTCTCGTGCATTTCCTCACTCCGGATTGGTCGACATTAACCTGAATGGCTATACAAATGACTTGTTTGCAGCCTCCAACATAAACGCAGCTGTATCAACTGCTCCAGTAAGCTGTACCGCTAAGACAGATTGCCAGTCAATATCTACTCCAACAAACATGGCCGCCATCAACAGCACGCTTTCTTCCTTCTTCGACAAATCTTATGTGAACACCGCTGGGGGTTTGAATATAAACTTACCTTCTGGAGATTCTAATACTACAACATTCGGAGTGGATACTGTTAATCTCAACCTTAGTGGCATGTCCTACGCCAACCAATACCAGCATTTGTTGGTGGCCAATTAGAATCGACATTTCTTTTGAACCACTCAATCCACGACACGCTTGCGTTTAGTAGGTTGTCGGTTGTCAAGATATACGACATTTACGAATCATTTTCGATTTCTGGCGTCCTTGGAGTCACGTGTCATGTGATACGAAACCGTTGATAAATCCTTAGTTTTAGGTTGTGAAACTTCTAAGTTTCTGACGTAAGGAGTACAAAAATGCGAAATCTGTCATCGCAAATGAAATATATAAGAGCTTTTCAAATCAAAGAACCATAGTGATAAACTGAATATTATTTTTTGTTGTTGTTGCGTTTATTTAAGTAATATAAAGCCTAAACGATACAAAATATGAAAAGCTAACTTTTCTTTCGTGTAAAATATCAAATAATCTGTATTACTATGTTCGAGCAACAGCGTAATTTGCTACTACCGGACATTTTCTTCTGGTGCTAGGCCTTTTCGTATATATAAGATAACCTAGCACGCTCTTAATCTTCCTCGGAATTTGTTAAATAGAAAAAATAAAAGACAAAGATACATATTTCTTCAAGTTTTGAGAATCAATAATACGTATTCAAAATCCGTGTTATTCCAATTGAAATGAAATTGCAACAACGAGCGTGAAAGTGCAGGATGAACAAATATTTAAGTATACGTGATAAATTCACAATTCCGCTTTCGTAGCTTTTACGAAATAACTAGAAAACGAGATTGTCCACGTGTAGAAATGTCTGAGAGTAGGATTGGACAGGGGGGGGGGGGGTAGGAGAGCTTTAAAAAACAAACGAGAAAAAACAAAATGATTCTAGAACGAAATCATTAGGTGAAAGCTAAGTTCGGTTTCTATCATCTTTTAGATTAGGCTTAGCTGGACGATGTTGTATTTGTGAAATATTTCAACCAAATTCCTTTCGTGTTCTTACTGATGCACGTTCGAAGTTGGCGTTTAACATATTCTCATCGATTCGTTAAGTCAGTTTGGGGTAGGGGGGTTATATTTTCTTATTGCCTAGTACGTTGAATTCCTTACTAGCTACCCCCCTTATGTGTACAGTTTAAACGTTAAGAGACTATATTTAATTATTCTTTCTAAACAACGTTTGTGTATACTAAAGGTGTTTTATCTTTTGTACTTGAAGAACCCGTATGTAATGTTTCCTTAATTTTTTATAACTATGTCGATTGCTAATAATTACCAGAACTATTTGTTTTTATTACAGTTATCCTTATAACTATAAGTGTGTGTGTGTGTGTGTATGGTTTGTAAATTAAACAAAGTTCTAGGTTTTTTCTTATCGGTAACATTTTTTAACACTTGTGAAATGTTGTAATTAATAGATTGGATATCGTTTGTTGAATAAATTGTGTAATTTTTTTTTCTTTTTCTTCAGGCACTTACTCGTATTTTATCGCGCTTGGCGACTCCTAAGACGTGTATACATATTAAGATTTCCGTTTTAATGTCTTGTTACATTTTTAAGTTTGTAATAAACGTCTTTCGTAATGTTGTACCGTCTGTTGTGTTTAAGATTATCTGTAATTAATTACACGACTAATGTGACACATCGAGAATTAAATACATAACTAATGTGACACATCAACTCGTATTAGATCTATTATGTAATCGAAACCGAAGTAAATTCGATTATTTAAAATAAACATTTCAAATCAATACAAATATGTTTTGTCCTTTCACGGCTCAAATAAGAGAACGTTTATTTATATTAATTATTTTGAACATCGAGAACGAAAGTAATTAAAACTATAATATCAAACACATTTAAAAGCCCTAAAAGTTTATTAGTTACAAAGTGCTGGTTGTCTTCATAAAGTATATGCATCGTGCTTGAGCTGTAGCCTTGGTGGTTTTAACGGAGCTAAATCTTTGTGTTGCTTTGGTTATTGCCATCGTTGGAGCCCCAACAAGGATGCTTCACTGTAAACCAAAGACAGTCTCGATCGAAAGTCTGTATGTCTGCAAAACTCATAACTTAGCGGAAAGCCAGAAGTGGCATTTAGATATTAATATCGATTTTTTTTTTGTCTGTACTCTTAGCATGTTCACTTGTGAGTGTTTACGAAAGAATTTCATTAATATTTTTAGTCAACAATAACGTGCTTTGCACAGTGAATGATGTTGCCCCCCTCAAAAGTCACAAGTTTGAATACCAACTGCAGAATTAATGTTCCGTGTAATTGTAGCTTCTTCTTCTCTACTAGAAAATCTGGTCTTGGAATCTTAGGGAGAAACTATTCATTTCAAAACACAAACCAAAAAAAAAAAAATTATTCTCCGTTTTGTATGTCGTGAGACATTTACTGTCCCGAGCATGCGCATGTTGAACGCTTCTTTCTGTTTATATAAATAGAAAATGGTCTTTTATTTGGGATTTAATTTCGTGTCATCCATAAATCTTTAAACATTATAAACAGTGAAAGTTGCATGAAACGTTAGGAATATTTCATCACGGTAACTTGTGTTTTATTACCAGTTAGACCAGTTTATAAGAAGAGATATTATCCAGGATGGAGATTAGTATTATTCTGTGATTTATCACAAGTAAGGAGGAAAATAAAACATTTCATGTTAGAGATACGAGTGAATATACAGCAATAAAACAATCCGGATTTTGAGAATAATGATCTAATTTTGCATAAATCAAACTTAGCTTTAGGATTCTCTTTTGATACTACCATAGTAGCGGTACCAAAACTCAACGAAAGAGTTATGTTGAATCTGATACCTGTTAGTACCATAATACCGGTACTACAAAACAAGGCTAATTAACGTTACGTTCAATCTGATATCTGTTAGTACCGTAATACCGGTACTACAAAACAAGGGTAACTAACGTTACGTTCAATCTGATACCTGTTAGTACCATAATACCAGTACTACAAAACAAGGCTAACACTATGTTGAATCTGATACCTGTTAGTACCGGTACTACAAAACAAGGCTAACTAACGTTATGTTGAATCTGATACCTGTTAGTACCATAATACCGGTACTACAAAACAAGCTAACTAACGTTATGTTGAATCTGATACCTGTTAGTACCATAATACCGGTACTACAAAACAAGGCTAACTAACGTTATGTTCAATCTGATACCTGTTAGTACCATAATACCAGTACTACAAAACAAGGCTAACACTATGTTGAAGTGCTTGTAGAAACCATTACTCACCAAAATCACGCAGTAATAAATTAAAGTTCGGACCTCGACTGAGAGTAAACCACGACATTTTAGACCGTGAAGGTAAATCATACCGGTTCCTAATCAACTAACTTGTAAATCATACCGGTTCCCAATCAGTCAAGAAAAATCTTTAATAGTTTATCAAGTGAAAACTTTGGCAGAGTATGGCTTTAAGAATGAAACTACTACTTAGATTTGTTTACAGTATGGCTTTAAGAATGAAACTACAACTTAGATTTGTTTACAGTATGGCTTTAAGAATGAAACTACAACTTAGATTTGTTTATAGTATGGCTTTAAGAATGAAACTACAACTTAGATTTGTTTACAGTATGGCTTTAAGAATGAAACTACAACTTAGATTTGTTTACAGTATGGCTTTAAGAATGAAACTACAACTTAGATTTGTTTACAGTATGGCTTAAAGAATGAAACTACAACTTAAATTTGTTTACAGTATGGCTTTAAGAATGAAACTACAACTTAATTTTGGTTTCAGATAGCTTACTCACGATGGTAGATGTTCACTTATAGGTAAATACTTATTAAATCAACTATTAATGGAAATACGATTAACACGTTAGTATGTACTTCAACTATTAATGGAAATACGATTAACACGTTAGTATGTACTTCAACTATTAATGGAAATACGATTAACACATTTGTATCTACTTCAACTATTAATGGAAATACAATTAACACATTAGTATTTACTTCAACTATTAATGGAAATACAATTAACACCTTAGTATCTACTTCAACTATTAATGGAAATACGATTAACACGTTAGTATCTACTTCAACTATTAATGGAAATACGATTAACACATTAGTATCTACTTCAACTATTAATGGAAATACAATTAACACATTAGTATCTAATTCAACTATTAATGGAAATACAATTAACACATTAGTATCTACTTCAACTATTAATGGAAATACGA